CTTAGCTGCTGCTTTAGACATGCCTAGACATACCCTGGCATGCCCTGACCCCCACCTGCTATTCCCCACCCCCATTCCAGGAAACTATAGATTAAGCAAACCTGAGCATAAAAACTGCCCTATAAGGTAAAAACAGAGACTCCTGGCCCCACAGGTAACAGTCAGCACATTCCACAGCCCTGAGAATAGCACCTACCAATAAGAAACTTCCAGGGTTGCATCTTATATATCCAATCGGTTTAAAATTATGTTGGCGCACGCGGACTCCTTGAACCAACAAAAATGTATCTTTGGTATCTCCCCCCACTTTGTCTAAAACCTGTAAAAGTCTCCACTGTCCCTTACTCTGGGCTCTCAGCATGGATCCGTTGAGTTGGTGCAGTCTGAGAGCCTGAGCTTAAGCCCGAATAAACCATAAACCTTTGCTTTTGCATTTTGGTGTGTTGGGTCCTCGGTGGTCTTTTGGGGGGTCCAGTGGATGGGGTACAAAATTTGGGGGCTCGTCCGGGATCCCCCCAGAGACCTCCGAGAGGAACCGACCACGGATGAGGTAACATAGCTATCTATCTATCATCTATCTATCTATCTATCTATCTATCTATCTATCTATCTATCATCTATCTATCTATCTATATATCTATCTATCTATCTATCTATCATCATCTATCTATCTAACTATATCCTGATTTGGACTGCAATGACACCTTAAAGAGGACCACTCTGTGGCTATCATTGTGTGCATCTACTTTTTTAGGTAGAAAAAAACTTTTATTTCATTCCAGATGTGGCATGAAATGTCTGTCTAAAATTCCACACAAAGAGAAAAGTAAAATATTTGCTTATTTAAAGGAAGCGGAAATTTGTGAATGTTTGATACACTATAGATGTTTACTGGATGTTTACCAGTCTTTCTTTTAAAATTCTAAAGCCAAATCCTTTACAGCTGCCCCATGGGAACTGCGTGAAGCACTGTAGTTTATGAAAGGGCTGAGGTTACTAAATTTCATGGAGGCTTAGTGTATTAGTTACTTTTCTGTTGCTGTGATAAAAATACTGACCAAAGCAACTTATAGAAGAAAGAGTTTATTTAGCTTACATTTCTAAAAGAGTAAGAATCCATTGTAGCAGGGAAACATGGGGCAGGAGCAGAAAGCTGAGCACTCACATCTTCAGTCAGGCACAAGAAACAGAGAAAGGCTGGAAATCTGGCAAGGCTTATGAACTCCCAATACCCCTTCCCACCCCATGTCATGGTACCAGGCTTCCTCCAGCAAAGCCACACCTCCTAAAACCTCCCAAAACAGCACCACCAGCTGGAGACAAAATGTCCAAATCCTTGGAGCCTATGGGGCACACTCTTAATTCGAACCACCACACTTAGGGATAGCTCCTTGTCAGTAATTCTGTTGTAGGGAAATTGACATTTTGAGTACTGGAATGCATCATGTGCCCATGAGCAATGCCATTTAAAGTATACAGATAACTGTTCATTCTTTTGGATTCAGCCAACCCATTTTTATTAAGCACCTACTATGTGCAATTGCTGGCAGGTATTTTAAAGGAAAGAGATGGATCAGACGCAGATCGTGCCCTCAGTTTAGAATAGAGAAGGTAAAGTGTTGATTTTAATTCTTTCAGAAGAGAAATAAAATAACACAAAGGAAGTAGAAATATGGAAGTTCAGAAATGAAGGAAACAGGCCGGAGGAGGGGTTTGGGAGCTAATTTTGAAGGCTGAGAAGGATTTAGAAGTTAGAGTGCGTGAAGTACTAAGCAAAATAAACTACCCTGCAGAAAGGCCTTGAGAAGATATGTAAGTGCTCAGGACAGGGTAGACTATTTTAAGCACTAACAGTAAGCAGGTGTTGACTTTCTTTCTTGGTGCTCAGGGGGTGCTAAGGCTGTGTTACAAATTTTGAAAGTCAAGTTTTGTGAGGTTTGATGTGTCTTCTATCTTCCAAAGGATGGAAATGATTTTAAAGAGCCCTACCAAGAGATGCAGTTCTTCATTCCGCAGTTAATCACGATCAAACTTGAAGTTCGTGAACCCAGTATTGTCTTCAACCCAACTTTTGATGACTGCTGGAAACTAATAAACGATTCCTTCTTGGAAATTATTAAGCATTCTGATGGGATTCCCAAGGTACAGTGTTCACCTAATCATTCATCTACATTTGTATCCACTTACTAAAGAAATAATCAAGTTGTTGAGTACACAAATCATGATATATATATATATATATATATATATATATTCAGTTAGGGCGTGTTATTTTGGGGACACCTCCTGAATGCACCCCTTGACCTCAGAAAGATTACATATGCCATAAAGATACATCCATGCAGCCTAGAATTGTGATTCTAACAACATTAAGAGTTTCCTTCTCATAGAGAGCCCCCAAAAGAAAGAAAAAAAAAGTAGGTTGTACTAGGCTATTAACTCATGAGTAATATGCCGAAGATTTTTTTTAAAGTGTATCTGACTTTGTTTTGAAGTTCCATGGATTTGTTTGTTTGCCAGTGAAGGATTCTAGAGACAGAAAATAAAACAAAACCCCTTCCCTTCCTGGCTCAACTTCTGCAGTTTCCTTTCCAGAGTGGAGTTGCTAATCAAATTAGATACTTACTAGTAAACTTTGTCTCCCAGGCAAGATTGGCTACGTGACTTAACATCTTTGCAGTTCTCTTTGGGTGGTTGATGTGACAAGACAGCTCATGTCTAGTCCCACATGGGCAAGGGATCTATGAGCTCTCTCTCTCTCTCTCTCTCTCTCTCTCTCTCTCTCCTCTCTCTTCTATCTCTTTTTTTAAAAATTTATTATTTTTATTTTATGTGTATATGTGTATTGCCTGCATGCATGTGAGTGCACCCATGTCCTACAATGCCACGGAGGTCAGAAGAGGGCTTCGGATTCCCCTGGAACTGGAGTTAAGGATGGTTCATAGCTGCCATATGGGTGCTGGGATATGGGTGCTGGGAATTGAACCCAAGGTCCTCTGCAAGAGCAGTCAGTGCTCTTAATGGCTGAGCCATCTCTCCAGCCCCTCTCTATTTCACTCGGTATTTATTGCTATCTCTCATGTTCCTTTTCTTCATAATCCTATACTCAGAACATTCTAAGAGATTATAATTAAAGCTGAAGTTTGAAGCTGAGGCAATAGCTTAGTCAGTACAGTGCAAATCACAGAAGCATGAGGACCTAAATTCAGTCACAAGCACCCAGGTGAAAGCTGGATGTGCTGGCATATGCCTGCAGTCTCAGCATTGGAAAGGTGGAGACAGGCTAAGGCCGGTTTGCCAGCCAGTCTATCTGAATTAGTGAGCTCCAAGTTCAGTGAAAGACCCTGCCTCAAAAAATGAGGAGGAGAGTGATAGAGGAAGACACCCAGTGCCAACCTCTCTCTGGCTTCCACATGTACACACATCCATGTGCATGGCACACACACAGAAATAAAATGTAGATGAAATGAGGGGGAGGAATGCAAACATACACACAGACACACACAGACACACACACAGACACACACACACACACACACACAGCTTAAGTTTGCAGGGAAACCTATGACACAAAGGCTCCAATTTCACTAGAAATCCTTACACTTGGCACTTTGGTGTCAGCCAAGCCTGGTTAACATGAAAATGATGGTGTAGAAAGGGAGGAAAGTAGGCACTTTTCTTACAACCGACATCCCTAGGAAGGAAATGAAAGAGAAGTATCTATAGTTTGAAGGGATAAGTGTGGGGCTTGGGACAAATAAAGTATACACTCCGTGCGTTCTATTTCTCTGCTGTTGATTGGCAGTGTTTACAAGCAGCTGGGTGGAGAGTCAGCTGCTGTGAGCCACTGGCACTGCAAACAGCACGGCAGGTGCTGGAGCTAGATGGAGTGGATTGCAATGCCAAGGCAGCATATACACAAGTCACAGTTTGTACCAGGTTTGAAATCCAGTCCTGCCTGTATACAAATGCCTTTACCAGAGTGAGAAGAAACCAGACAGAGTTCTCCATCTAGTGAGGCTGACAGCACTGGCTTCCTCTCTAGAATTCTCAGGTTTTCAGCTCTGAACTCACGAAAATTAAAGTCCCTCAGGTTGAATATCTACAGAATGTATACAAGAATAGAAACAGATGGACAGTTTCCAAACATTTTGCCTCACCTATATATTAAAATAAAATTTAAAAGTTTCAAGAGGCATGATGTAGTGGCAAATACCTTTAATCCCAGAACTTGGGAGGCAGAGGCAGGTGGATCTCTATAAGTTAGAGATTAGCCTAGTCTACATAGTGAGTTCCAGGCCAACCAGGGCTATATAGTAAGACCCTGCCTCAAAAACAAAAGTTACAAGACAAAATTCAACAAATTTGTCATGTGTGTATGTGTGTGTGTATCTGTGTGTGTGCTATATGTACATGTTCTGCAGGGGTGTGCATGTGTCTGTGTAGATACACATGTATGTGTGTGTATGTGTGTGCATGTGTTCATGTGGTATATATGTGTATTCATGCAGGGGTGTACATGTATCATGTAGGCACACATGCCTGGGTACACGTGTGTGTGTGTGTGTATATGTGTGTGTGTACGTATGCTTATGTTGGCCATAGATTGGTGTCAGGTATATTCTTAATCTCTCTCCACATTATTTTTTGGGACAGAGTCTCTCACTGAATCTGGAGCTCATAAATTCAGCTAGGCTGACTGAGCTCTGGGAATCTGTCTCAGTCTCCCCAGTGCTGGGATTATCAGTGCACACCACTGTGCTCAGCTTTTATGTGGATGCTAGAGATCTGAATTCTGGGCCTCGTGCTTGCAAGACTTTACTGACTTAACTATCTCCCCAGCCCCAGAAATAATTTCAAAAATAAATAACATTCAAGCTGTAAAAGGAAGGCATATCAGTAAGAAAGAGTCACCAGAGGAAACTGAAGTAAATATTATGGTGATTTGGTTACAGCAATACAGACCAGAAAACAAGCGTGGTATAATCCATATTGAAATGGCAGAGGTGAAGGAGAGGCAAACCTAAAGTTAAATTTAATAAAATGAGGAAATGTAACATGTAAAACTTAAGTCGGTGTTCTGGCCATGCCACTGCATTGCTTTCTTTTTACAACTGTTTTATTCTTTGAGAATTTCATACATGTATACAATACTGTGATCCTATCCACTCCCACCTCCAACTCCCCCTATATCTCTCCTGCATTACTTTCATAATGAGGAAAGTGTATATTTTACCATGGAAAGGGGCCACTAGGGCCAGCCTTTCCCCTGATGGCAGAGTTCTCTACTGAGCATTGCCAGGGAATGCTAAAGCCAGAGATGTCTGTGGAAGAAAGCAGCTGTTCTGCCCTAAACCCTTCCGTCCACACCCTGGAGCAATGCTACTTTCTTATCTCCTTGCTTTTAGGCTTTGGCCACAAACAACCACAGCAAAGAAGTTGCCCATCTTCTGGTTTAAAGCCTTCGTGTTACCCAAAGAAGACAAAGATTTATTTGCACTCATTTCCCCTTTCTTCTGCTTTCTCATCAAAGGCAGATAGATGATGATAGGTATGTAGGTAGGTAGGTAGGTAGGTAGATGATAGATAGATAGATAGATGATAGATAGATGATAGATAGATGATAGATAGATAGATAGATGATAGATGATAGATAGATAGATAGATGATAGATAGATGATAAATACATTATATTATATGTAATTTACAAGGTGTGGAACCTAGGAAAGCATTCTCAAGATCTTTGCTGAGGCCAGTTGCTGAACATTTTCATAGCAGAGAGGGCAGAATTCGAGAACCTGCAGGAGTCACACAAATAATATTCTTGGACACACACATACACACACACACACACACACACACACACGTTATTAAGGAGTTGGAGAGTTGGGGCTAGGGAGATGTCTCAGTTGATAAAATGCTTGCTACAAAGGCAGTGCTGAGGGAGGGAGTGTCCCAAAACAGGGTTCTCTCAAGCTCACTTGCCAGCTAATCTAACCAATCAGTGAGCTCCAGGTTCAGTGAGCGACACTGACTCAAAAAATAGCCCCTTCTCAAAAAATAAAGTTGATAGGGATCAAGGAAGACACCTCCATGCACATACACCCACACGCACACACACACAAGTGCGTGTGTGCACACACAGAAGTTGGAGAGTTTCTCAGAAAAGGTGTTCTTTGTGTCTTATGATCACAAAGCCATATCTTTTTAGTTTTCTTTTTTTCTTTCTGAGATTAGAGTGCAATCTAGTACATCTTTCTGATTTTACAGATGAGAATATGGAGATTTAGAGAGCAGTAATGTCCTAGGGGTATAGAGTTGGTTAGCAATAGAGTCAGAATTGGAGCCCATGTCTCCAATAGCTTTTGTCAGAGATGTAAAGGGAGTAGTAAGAGGGAGGGGCGCCATCATATATATACTTGTCCACTTACCTGCTGCTTATGAGCACATAACAACTGCCAAGCTCTTGCTAAGCCCCAAGAACACAGCAATAAAGTCAAATAGAATCACCCCCTCATGTTGGGGAGAGAGCTTAGTTGGTAAAGTGCTTGTTGCCCAAGTATTAGGACCTGCGTTCCATCTCAAGAACCCATGTAAAGAAGCCAGACACAGGCTGGAGAGATGGATGACCCAGTGGTGAACCATCCATAATTCTAGTTCCAGGGGATCCAACACCCTCTTCTGATCTCTGTGGACATGGCACGACATGGGCGCATTTGCACACATGCAGGCAATATACTCATACACATAAAATAAAAATAATAAATAAATAAATAAAAATCCAGACATGCTTGTAATTCTAGTGCCTGGAACACAGAGGAAGGAGGATCTCTGGTCTTGCTGACCTGCCCAGGGACCCTGTGTCAAAAACTAAGGTATATGGCTCCTGGCTTCTGGTCTCCATACATATGTATAGACATAGACACACACACACACACACACACACACACACACACCAGCCCTTCATGATATTTATATTTCAGGGCTCACAAAAGCCTATTTTTTTTCATTTAATTGAAAGTATGAGTGCCAAGCAGAAGGTCAGATGGTGAGATTTAAACAGAAATCCAGGGCCGGAGAGATGGCTCGGCGATTAAGAGCACTGGCTACTTTTGCAAAGGACCCGGGTTTGATTCCCAGCATCTACATGGCAGCTAACAACTTTCCTACTCCAGTTCCAGGGGACCCGACACCCTCTTCTGGCCTCTGCAGGCATGGCACAACATGGGTGACTTACATTACATGTAGGCAATACACTCATACAAATAAAATAAAAATAATAAATAAAGAAATAAAGAAACCCAACATCCCTTGGGAGCCCAGGAAGATTCTCTAAGAACCTGAGATTTGAGAGGTTCAAGGACTTGAAAGAAGAGAAATCCTGGCAGGAAGGAGAGAGTCAGTAGAGGGAGGAGAAATAGCAGGATCGCTTTACCACTGTCCAAGAGGAAAGCAGTAAAGAGGCAGCTAGCATCTCCAAAACAAGTCCACCACAGGCCCACACTACACTCTGTTCCCGTCTCCTTTCTTATGTCCATGGGTGTCTTGCAATATCCAAGAGTACCTCCTTCTCTTTAGGTGGAATCTATCTTGTTTCCAGAGTTGAAAGGATATAACTTGATTCTTGGAACTGTCGATGCTAAGGAAAACCTTGTTTCTGACTTCGTGGATCAGGCTTTTGAAGTATTTAAGAAAAATCAAGTCGGCCCTCACAAGTAAGTGGGTTTAATTCTAATTTTATTAGTAGAACTTTTAGTTATTAGTGAACATCAAATAAGTGATCTCTGTTCTCACACATCTGAAGCACATATGTAGTAACAATGGCCAGTATTTACCTGGGTATGACTTTATCCTCATTTTTCAGGTGAGGAGTACAAGTTTCCCAATGCTAGGTTGCAAACAAACGGAAAAGCCAGGATTCAAATGCAATTGCAGAGCCGTCTCCATTATCTGAAAGCCATAGGGCCAGATATATGTTGGGATTTTAACATTTCTGGAATTTAGAAGAGTCACACCTTGCTTCTAGTTTATATTATTCTGTAGAGTCTGTAAGATCTGGAGAAACAAATTCATATTTCTGCTGTTATACTCATGAATGTATTTCATATTTTGTTTTGGTTTACAGGTAGTTACCACCACACCCAGTGAGATCTGTGAATATTCTCATAATAGTCTCATAAGTTTAGGACAGCTTTTGCTATGAAATGTCAACAGAATGCAGTCAAGCAACCCTGGGGCAGGGTGACCAGATGCCCGAGTTTATGTAGGATAGTCAAACTATATACCTGTTGTTCCATGGTGATTGTTTATAACGTTCCTTTCACTTTTAAAGCATCTTCAGTTTGGAAGTTACATTTTATGATCCTCTAAACTAGTGATCACTTGCAGTTGTTCACAGTTTGCCACCAAGTACATTTTTTTTTTTTGGACTTTTTGAGACAGGGTCTCCTTGTAGCCCTAGCTGGCCTGGACTCTCTATGTAAACCAGGCTGGCCTTGGTGTCACAAAGACCCACATGCCTCTGCCTCATGAGTGCTGGGATTAAAGGTGTGTGCTACCACACCTAGCCTCCACCAAATAAATTTTGATGCAAATGTGTTTTCTTCACATTTTCAGTGGGAAAAAAATTCTGTATCATGGGGATGGAGCCTGTCCTGTGTGTAGGGCTTGTGTGGCAGCATCTCCGTTAGTCACCCATTATGTACCAGTAGGACCTGCCTCAAATCTCCTGCAGGGTAAAATCACCTCTGGTTGGGAATACCGCTCATCTCATCTAGAAATCATAGTCTCATATCCATTTGAAACCCCTGTGTTCCCATTCTTGGGGGTCTTGTACACACACTTTTCTAGGCTGACAGTCATGAGCTTCTCTTTGCATCTCCGTGTCGGAGTCTCTGATGACTTGACTCTCTCTTGGATGTGTAGCTCGGGGCTTCACTGAATTATTCTGCTTACTCAGTACCACCTTTGTGTTAATTAAACCTTATTTTAAGTCATATCATCTTAGATACATCCTTCAATTTGAGGAAATTCATTCAGCCATTTTTCATATCTGAAAAACAGATGAACTCAATTTCAAATACCATAGGTTAATTAATTCTAAATGTTTATCTTAAAATTTGATGTGGAATGTTGAGCTAGAAGGAAGGCTGGGTACTAATGTTTATTTCACATTCACTATACGTCAGCATAGTATTAAGTGTTCCATATAATTTATTATAGTTAAGATTTATGATAGTCTTGGATTATTATAGTCACTTAAAATCAAAGACATTGCATTTTGAAAAACGAAGTGTCTTGTCTATGTTTGTGCAGGAAAGAAGTCATAAAATTGGAATTGGAAGCTAAAATTCTTAATTTCAAGTTCATTGGCCCTTTTGTCACACTGTATTTTCCTTTCCTCGTTGAGTTCATTTTTTAAACGTAATTGTCTTTTTTTTGGCAGAGGAGGGATTGATACCAAGTCTCACTGTGTAGCCTTGGCTGACCTGGAACTCCCTATGTAGACCAGACTGGCCTTGAATTCATAGAGATTCATCTGCCTCTGCCTCCTGAGTGCTGGGATTAAAGGTGTACGACACCTCACCCAGTTATTGTCTATTTTTTTTGTGTGTGTTTTTTTGAGACAGGGTCTCCCTGTAGCCCCAGTTGGCCTAGAGCTCACTATGTAGACCAGGCTGGCCTCGAACTCACAGAGATTCGCCTGCCTCTGCCTCCCGAGTGCTGGGATTAAAGGTGTGCGCCACCACGCCTGGCTTGTTGTCTATTTTTAATAGCCACTCTTGCCTATTTTATTCATTGACTTGTATTTGTGTGTTTGAATTCTGTTCCTCAACATGGAAGATACTTAAATGTATACAAAAAATATGATGACTTACTGGATAACACAGCAGAGCAAGGCATCACTGCATTCCTGAAAGAAAATCATGAAATTGAGGACTTCGTGAAGGTAGGGGACGCCCTGGTCGTGTGTGCTGCAGTCAATCCCGTGAATAGTCAGTGTGTCTCTTTGAGCAGCAAGGGCTCAGTATTGAACAAGAGTTGGCCAAGGGGAAAGCTGGGGCAAGGAGTAGAGGCTTGTAGGCCGATTAAACTACTGAATGTGCTTCTTCTTACAGAAAATCAATAGCATAAAAAAAAGGAGAAATGAAATTGCATCCATGCACATTACTGTGCCTTTGGCCATGTTCTGCCTTGATGCCATGACCCTCAATTATGATCTCTGTGAGCGAGCCCAGAATCTTAAAGACCGTCTCATTCAGTATCAAGTGGATGTAAACCGGGAAACCAATACTAGGTATAAGATTATGAGAAGAAAAATTGAGCTGGGGAGATGGTTCAGTGGTCAAGTTCTTGCTGCACAAGTATGAGGACTGAGGTTGGGATCCCCAGAACCCACATAAATTCCAGGTGGGTGTGGGGGCCGCCTGCAGTTACAGCCTGGGAAGGCAGACAGATAATCCCCAAAGTGAACCAACTAGGAAGACTAGTCATATCTACAAGGTCTGTGTTTGGTTGAGAGAATGTGCCTCAATGAATAAAGTGGAAGAGAGACTGGGGATGATTCCCCACATCAATCTCAGGCCTCCACATGCCCGCATATCCACACACACGTGTACCTTACCAAACCCAAGTGCCCCCTACACGCATGTGCCCCCACATATGTAAACATGCCTAACACATACACACATGAAAAAGAAAAGCATCTCTGTGCAAACATTGGTGATATTTCATACCAACCAAAAAATGGAAACATGACTAGAATTTGGGCCTTTTCAGGTCTTTTCTGTCCTAGAATGAGGATGACAAGGAGTTCGGGTTCAGGTTAAGAAGGGAACTCTCAAGAAAAACTACACAGGGGACTAGGGAGATGGCTCAGTGGGTAAAGTACTTGCCATGCAAGTGTGAGACCTGAGTTCAAATCCCCAGGACCCACAAAAACCAGATGCAGTAGTATACATCTGCACAGTGGATGACATGCACTGAAGGACACCTGGGTACAAAAGTTTCACTCGATGGGCCTTAACATACGTGACTGAATGCATGAAATCCCGTAGTGGGGCTGTGGTTGGGTGCAGATGGGGGAGGGGGTCTGCATATGATTAAGATTTATTGTATGAAATGCACATAAATTCAATAAAAATATACATTAAAAATAACTGTGTAGACATAGTGTAGGTAGTAAACATCTTTTTCACAAGGTCATGAGTTAGAAATCATGAAAAACTACATGCACACCAGAGTTGAGTAAATAAGTTTTTTTACTTATATAATAAAACAAATACTAGAGTTAAAAAATGATTCTAAATTCTCAGCATCATTTGCTGAGCTGTCTTAATGTTTTTCTCTCAATGCCATACAATCAGCTTCATTATGGAGGGATCTCCTTACATTAAGATGGAATATCAAACATGGATACTAATAGGTCTGCTTCTTGTCATTTTGTTTTTAAAAAAGTTAATGCATGTCAGTGATTAAAATGAGACATAGTACTTTGTAAGGGCTTAGTACATGTCAGATATTATCACTGTTTCTACTGCTACTGTCTCTGGAGTGGCTATGTATGTGTATTGATCCACCAAAGATTTACAGGAAAATGGGGAAAACAGTTTTCTAGTCCCTAACTAGGAGCCGTATCTGTTTAGCATGATGGGCCCTATAAGAACATCATTTTAGATGGTGGTGGTGGTGGTAACCATTTCTTTCTCTGTAGCATTTGTAATCAGTACAGCATCATCTCAGACAAAGTCAGTGAGATTCCTGCCAACACCACAGAGCTGGTATTCCTCATCAAATTCTTAAAGCAATCCAGTGACGTCACTGTGTTCAAACTCAGAAGGCAACTTAGAGATGCAAGTGAGCGACTAGAGTTCCTGATGGATTATGCAGACTTGCCCCGTAAGTCTGGCACCAGATATATGCATATGTATGTTTATATTTCTATATAAGACATACAAACGTTCTGGAGTCAGAGTTTAGGAATAAGGTTTGGGGAAAAGAGGTACTCAGTTCTGGAAAAGCTGCCTTCCAAGTGTCCCTGTGTGTTGGAGGTACGAATTCATACTCTTCTATGCAGAAATTTGAATCACCTGAAGGGCATCCTGTTGGACAAAAAGAATATATATCCAAAGATTTGATCCCTAGTTCGTAGGAGCCTATTTTGGCATCTAGTGTATGATGTTTGTGGAAGTCACTCCAAATGTAGAATCCTTGTGATAAATTGGTAAATCTCACTCATCTATAACCTTAGTGTAGTCCTAGCTTTGAAGGACCAGAGTGTTTTCTTTCATGCTAGTGTATATTTTGGAAGGAAACAAAATATTCAGACCCTGTAAAGTCTTTTTGGGTCAAGTTGGAATTTTGAAATAAGGACCAGATTCTAAAGGAAAAGTTCCTGTATTCTTCACAAATCATTTTCATTCTGAAAACACCTATAACTACCTGATTCATAATGTGTTATGTTGGAGAGCGTTGACAGGAGGGAAAGACAGGGCCTGAGAGTGCAAAGTGAGCCCCTCACCAGCCACCCGTATGTCCAGAAACGGTGCCCTGAACCACGCTCTTGTTGGTCTCTACCTCCTGAATCCACAAGGAAACAACATTTTCGTTGGCTTAGCTATAAGGGGCAGGGCATGTGGTACTGACACTATTACTGCCTTTATTTCAGATGAGGTGAGGTAGTGTGAGGTGTGGAACTAGATCTCCATCCCATATTTCTGACTCTTCCCAGACCTAGCATCAGAAGCCAGTGAAGCAGAGGGTTAGAACATAGCTGTGGAATTAGCTGGACTTAGAACTGAAGTTTGGCTTCTAGCAATGTAACCTTGACCACATGGCTTCAGGACTTCATTATCCATTTGTAAAATGAGGATGGTAATTCTGTCTTCGAATATGCTCTCTAGTAAGTGCTTGGTAAACACTGGTTTTCATTCATCCATACTGAGTCTGTTCATTTACTGCCACCCCACAGAAGTGGGACTTCTGTTGACCTCTTGTCCTCTGAATCAATCCCCCACATCCTGGACAGTGTCCTACAGTGGACTGTGTGTGTTTTTCAGAAGAAGACATTAAACTGAACAGCATCTTGTTCCTGTGGCCAGAGCAGATAGAAGATGTCTTTGAAAACAGCCGAAACCTGCTCCTTAATAAGAGGGATCAGGCAGAGATGGACCTAATTAAAAGGTACAAGGAGAGTCTGGGATTGTTTTGGGAATGAGACCAAGTTTTCTAACCGAACACCCACCCTAATTCCTGTTTCTGCCTAGCTTCCCCACCCCTCCCCACACACAGTAGCATGTGGGCAAAGGTCAAAGTCAGTTGGTAGAGAGGGAAATCTCTTGTTTCCCACAGAGGGAGAGGGATGTTCTCTCTAACCTGCATCGCTGTAGTAGCCCCAGATAATGCCTCTCCTCCCTGCCTTGAATAATTGAAATTTGGAGGAGCAGAGGGAAAAGGCAAACATAATGGCATGTAATAATAGCCTCCACCAACTGTGATAGCAAAAATGCCAGTCTTATGCTGGAGCCCAGGAGCTGGGAGATAACAGGATGGGGAAGATAAAGGCATGGTAGGGGGCTGAGCAGTTGTCTGTTCCGCACCTGGTAGTGCTGTTGTGGCTGTAATCATATATTCAGTCATTATGTGTCTATGGGTATTTATTATGGCGTTTTACTGTGTACTATGCTCTATTCTAGACATGAATGCATGGATGTATATTTGACTGCAAAATTAAGACTTTAACCCGGTGACAGATAAAAACAGACATACTAAAAATTCTGGCAATGTCATGTGAAGGGAGTCAAGTATCATTCACATAACAAAGACATGTACACACACATACACCACACCACATTCACATATGCACATACATATACCACACATCACATATACTATACCACATGTACTCATACCATACCACACATATATGTATCACACATAAACATACATACCTCATACATATATACAATACATAAACATATATACCACACCACAATATACCACATACATACACCACACATAGACATGTATCATATCACACACACATATACACACAACACCACACACTATACTACACACACACATACCACATGCACAAAACGCTACTCGTACCAAACATACAACACAATGCATACCACATACACATACACGCACAAACATACTCAGACACATGCCACACCACACCCGTACACACACCATACCACACACATCCCAGCTTATAACATTTCATTATAAAGTATAGATTCACACCAATTTCCCTGTCTTCCAACTTTAGCTGTAATCCCTATAAGCATAAGAGAAAAATGTGTTAAAAGAGGGCTTCTGCATACAGTGGGAATTTGAGCTGAAGGGTAAACCCATTTTGTTGATATCTTGAAAATATGACTCAGATTTCAAGGGAGTTATAAAAAAACGTCTATTTTTCTACCTAAACCTTGTCTCTACCTAAACGGAAACTGTCTCCAGAGCCTAGAATTTATCCTGATAGATGGATTGATTTATCTTTAAATTTATAGATTTTTGTTTCAGTACAGTTTTGATTTTCAGCAAAATTGAACAACAGCTATGAGAGGTTCCTATACAATGTACGTACATATGCAGCCTCTCCTGTGCCTGGCCAGTTATGTCCAGCCAGAAGCAAAGCCATTTTCTGTTAGTCAGATGAAGGAGCTGGAGCAGGTTTGTCATTTCCTTGAGGCTGGTTGTGGAGGCCAAGTTCAGGGGCCAGGAAAGGAGGGTCCAGGGGAACCAGAAGACTAAAGAAGACTCATGGAGCCACTGGCAAATCAGACATTTTTTTTTTTCAGAGGAAGTTATCCTTTATTAGCATGGGCCTCAGAGGAACTGCCCAGATCAGAAATACATACAAGTATTTGTAGGACTTTTCATGCCATCCTGTGGCAGTAACATAATGGTGGATTTGGAGCTTCCAGCACAGAAGCATACATGCCCTTTAGACTTTATAAGAAATTTAAATGGTCAGCATTTTTACAAAAGCAGATATTTCGGCAATTGTGGCCAAGGGTTGTGGCATTCCCCAGTAACATGATATATTGTTGATGTCAGTAAAATCTTAGCTATTTTTTTTCTAACAAATAAGACACATTGCAGCAGGTATTTCCTTAAGATCACAAACTGGTTTTTGTGATTGCTAACCTTGTCTTAATAGCCTGAAATTGAGCTCAGAGTAGCCTTTATGATTTGAGTACAAGCAGATGCTTTCAAAGTCCTTTTACTTCTACATATATCAACAAGCACACTTATTATTAGGTTTATTATTAGGGGTACATAAGGTTCTTGTCAAATACAGTCCTTTGTACTTCATCTAGCATTCAGAACACAGTTATACTAAAGTCATTAGTTCCACATTAGGTTAATGTTTCTTCATCAGTTCAACAACCTGAAGAAAAGTTTCCTTCACTCAGAAATGATAGCAGCCCCTCTCTTAAGCAGAGCCCATGGTGACACTGGGGTGGATGCAGTTCACTGTCAGCTCGGTTGAAGCCTTTGCTTGCCCATACAAGAGACTTTTCTCTTACACCTACTGGACTAAGGAGGCCTGAGCTCCCTAGCCCCTGTCCAAAAGGTGAGACCCTGGAACCCAGGATTATTGGGAAAGTGCCATCCTGTTTCCTTTATGTGGCTGATTTATCTTTCCCAATGGAATTTGCTGACCCTCTTCTATAAACCTCTAATGCTACGATGGGGACCATAGTGACCTCCCAAACAAACTATCCCAGTTCTCTTCACGTTTGGCTCTATAACTGTAGTTCACTCATTTTTTTCCTCTTCTGCCCCACCCCCCTTCTGGGACATGACCTCCTACATAGATTAGGGGCCCCCTACATAGATCATTCCTCACATCCAATATCAGACTAAGTTTCACCTCCAGGACCTTCCCACCCCTAACCCTCCCAGTTCTGGGCTTCCTAACCGAGACAGGTTTTATATTCTCTGGGAGAGGGCACACAGGCTGCACAGGTGAACGCTGGGCAAGAGCACCTGCCCTTGGTCCCAAGGACTTTTTATGGGAAATCACACAAAGTTGGTTTCTTGCTAAAAGGCATTATATAACAGATTACATCATTGTTCCTTTTGGGATCCCAGACGTCCAGTGTCAGACATTTTGTCCCGACTCATAGCCCACAGGATATCTAGGATTAGTCATCTTGGTCCATGCCTGAAAGCCATATCCCCACCATGTTGTTTAACTACAAACAGGCCCTCGTCCTTCATCTGGAATGCAAGATGCATTAGAACCTACTTCATTGTGCTAAAGCGTGAAATGAGAGGTTAAGATTGTGTCCACATGGTATCCAATGCATGGTGTAGGCATTCCAAAACTGTGAGCTTCCTCCTCCCTTTTAACAGTGACCTCTTTGGGTGAGAAATGTCCTTGATTTCCAAAGCACCGCAAGGCATGCTGTTAGAATATTACCATAAATGGGCTGGAGAGATGGCCCAGTGGTTAAGAGCACTGGATGCTCTTGCAGAGGACCCACGTGGCAGCTTCCAGCATCCACGTGGCAGCTAACAACAATCCATAACTCCAGTTCCAGGGGATCCAATGCCCTCTTCTGACCTCTGCAGACATTGCATGACATAGGTACACTTACATACATGCAGGCAATAAACTCATACACGTAAAATAAAAAATAATAAATAAAATTTTAAAAAGAATATTGCCATAAGTATCATTGGAGGCAGTAAGTGCTAATGAAGTTAAGATGTGCAGGGCATGGCCCTGGGAATAGCAGGAACAGTTGTCACGGGCACTGAGAGAAAAGTTCTGGGTTTCTGCTTCCTAGGGAGAGACTCCCAGCTTCATCACATCAGCTGGTGCCTGAGCTCTTATCAGCAGAGGCTCAGTGTGGCAGCCCCAGACTCAGGCCTCCTTTAGAAGAATGTTGAATGTTCATCCTGTCTATGGTTTCACATCAAACATGAGAGTATCCTATGAGATAGGCTGAGCAATAGTTGTGTATCCAGATCTTTTCTGTGGAAACAGTCTTGTTTCCTCTTCAAGACAGCCAACCTCATTTTCCCAAGTCACATTAACTTTTGGATTGAGCGTCAAGCATTTTCCATTAGCTGGCTCACCCCACCCTGGAATCCTTTCTTCTCCCACTCACTGTCTGAGAATCTTATGCTCAGTCTACAGCCCCCTGGTTCCCTTGACTGTGGGATCCAGGCTGGGTCTTGGCAATGGCCCTTCAGGAGGTAGAGCGTGCCTGAAGGGCTTCCTCTTTTCTCCTGCCCTGTTTAGCCCTGGGCACTGGTTGGTGTCTATATCCCTCTGAATGACAGTGCCTGCTCTCCCCAGTTCCAGGTCTCACTGTCCTCAGCCACAGGGTTCATAACGACTTCCCTCTGGTAGTTGCTAGGCATCTCACTAGCATCTGGTCCTGTATTTGTTATTTTTGTGTCATTATGACCACAATACTTGACAAACACAATGTAAGGGAAGAACGATTTCATTTGGCTCATGGTTTCGTAGGACTTCAGTGCACTGTGGTGCAGAAGGCCTGGCAGGACTGTTCAGTTCACATGGCAGCAGGAGTGTGTGAAGAAAGCTGTTCACATCAGGGTGGGCGAGGAAGCAGAGAGAGCAAAGCAGGAACCAGGGCAGGGCTGTAACCTTCAAAGGCCCTTACAGAGTCTAACTATAGCAGTTCCTTTAACCCTACCAGTACGCATCCCTGTGAGTAGCCCTTCACTTAAGTTTCTTTCTTTGATCATCAGAATGAATTCCACTTCCTTCCAGAATTGTGGCCAATCACCATCTTCAGATTCCTGCTTTTCTCTCTTGATTTCAGTGTCCCAAGTACAGCCCTTTACTCAACCTGATTTTCTGAATGGATTAGTATATGAAATACATATATATGGTTATATATTTATATGATATAACATACCTTAGGCATGATAATGTGCTAAGTACTTATAAGAAATTTCAAAGAAAGATACTAGTAATATTTTAATATTTTAATGTGATCACTGAGTCTGTACATCATTGCCCTCTAAGAAAACCCATAACCGGTTTTAGCAGACTTTTCTCATTTTATGTGAATATAGTATTTACAAATTTGGTAATACAAAAAGGCATACTGCTGCTGTAGTTGTATAAATAACAGGAAAATTAGTTTTGTCCCCCACTCTTCCTGTTGGTTAGAACAAATGATGGATAGTGCAGGAGTGTGAGCTACTCTCCCCTTTGGCATCTTGGGAAAAGAAGGGAAGGTGATTCAGGGAGAATGCCAGAGAATGTTTAAAATAAAGCCTTGAAGACTTAGACAGTAGCACTATGCTTCTGTGTGGTAGGTGCTCATTTTTTTTTCACAATTAGGATATTTAATACCTACCAGAATCTAAAATAACAGCTCATTACAAAGCAAAAACAGAAGGCTTCCCCCACCAGGAGTGGAGACAGAGGGAGACACAGGTGGCCTTCTCCTAGCACCTCTGTGCTACTAAATCTGTAAGACCTTGGGGAACAATCAGGAGGGGTGGGAGAGAGAGGAGAGAGAGACAGGGACAGAGACACAAAGAGACAGGAGGAAGAAGAAGAAAGAAGAGGAGGAGGAGGAAGAGGAAGAAGAGGAAGAGGAAGAGGGGTGAGGAGGGGAGAGGAAAAAGAAGAGGGAGGAGGAAGAGAAAGAAAAGGAGGACACGAGAGAGAGAGGAGGGGGAGAGGGCCATCTGCCCTTCTTCCTCTTGTGGTCCTGTCACATTCCTCTTCTCAGAGTGTACGGAGGACAAAGGGGACCTGGTCCCTGTCCATGTGTGATCACAGTCAATGGGGAGATGGATGATGAAGCAGTTGATTCAGAAGCTCTGTGAAGAAAATGAGCAGAAACTGCATAGTGATTGACTCCAACAGGCAAGTAAAGGAGGCTCCTTTCAGAAGAGACTTGGTGAGAAGGAGCAGGTTAAGTGAAGGTGTGAAGCAGGAGGGAGCAGCTGGGTACCGACCTGGACAGCATGGGCAACGGTTCCAAGGCAGGAAGAGGCGGCTGCTTGTTCAGCTGTGGTTAGAAAGTTAAGAGAATCAGATCCTTAAAGTCACAGTAATGAGTTGGGATTCCATTTCATAAGTGCATTAGGAAATCATTAAAAACCTCACCTGGGAACCAAAAGGGTTTGTTTTTCTTTTTATGATCTATTTATTTGAATCAGAAATTGAATATGAATGCCTACCACAATTAGTTGTGTCTCGTAAATTTCTTTTAATCTGTTAATCACCTGACTCCCTTCAACTCCTTTTCCCCCACTTTTAATTTACTTATTAAAGAAGCTTGATCATTTGTCCACAAATCTAAAGTTTGCTGATTACACCTCTAAGAAGCCGTTTACCATGTTCTTCCATCCTCTCATTTCACATGAAGTTTTAAAAACTGGTTTAATCTTACTACTGATATCTGTTTCTTTTTTTATTGATATCAAGGACCTTAAGCTTTTTGTAAGCAAGAGTATAGCATGCAAATGCAAAGAAAAATGGACTGGTGAGGTAGGTCAGTGAGTAAGGGTGCTTGATGCACAAACCCAGCAACCTGAGTTCAATCCCACAGTGAAAGAGAGAGAACCAACTCCCCCAAACAATAATTTCTTCATAAGTATGAGGACCAGTGTTCAATTCCCCAGAACCAATGTGAAATGTATGTGGTGTGGCAGCCACCTGTAATTCCAGCCTTGGAAGGCAGGGACAGGGGTCTCGAGAGCAAGCTGGCTATATCAGAGAGCTCTGAGTTCGATTGGGATTCCTCGTCTCAAAGAATAAGGAGGAAGAGCAATATAGGATGATTTCCCACATCAACCGCAGGCCTTCATATGTGTGTGCACCCACGTTCACATGTGCCATGCACAGGCAAACATGCATATACACATGTACATAGTACACACACACACACACACACACACACACACAGATGAAAATGGAAAAAAGAAAACTAATACAAAAAAAAAGGAAATGGAGTCAACCATATTCATCAGATACAGTCAAATATTATTGGTTCAAAGATGGTTACCTAGATAAGTGAAATAAAGATGATATTAATTCTTATATATGAATCACACAACTTAGTGCATAATTAAAATAGATGAATTAAGGACATAATGGAAGTGAGTGGCAGTCTTCACTCATTGGCAGGGTATGTCTCTTGCTCTCTCTCTCTCTCTGCATATATAATATCAACACAAAAACACCATCTAACCTCTCAGAGCTTATTCTGGAGCCAAAAATGAGTGACCATGGCATGGGAACAGAGATTCAGATTACCCCAAATGCAGTGTTCCAATGTGGTAACAGTTTGATAACATTTTTATAGTAGCAGAACAAAGAGTCATAAATCGAGGCATTTTTCAAATCTCTCAGGTAGTCAGGTTACAGCAAAGCAGTGAAATCTGTGCTCAGATTCAGATGCTGATGGCATTGTTAGTCTTTTGGTAGATGCAAACTAGCTGTCTGTGAATACACTCCAAATATAATCCAAACCAAAAGGTTTCACCAGACAGTCACAAGGATGTTAGAGCAGACACAGAGGTAGGCAAGGGGGCTAAAGATAATCCAAGATAAATTTTAATTAGGCTCTGGACTGGCAACATTGCAATCTCTTCACAATCATTGAAATTTCAGTGAAAAATCAGCCTTGTAAAAGGTTCAGTGTAGGGTGTCATTCTTTCCAGGAACGTTTTGTTCACAATAACATCTCAAAAGTTTAGCCTACAGTATAAAATAGCTATTCTTCTTAAAAACATATATTTTATTATTTTTATTTTATGTGTATACGTGTATTGCCTGCATGTAGGTAAGTGCACCCGTGTCATGCAATGCCCGCGGAGGACAGAAGAGGCTGTCGGATCCCCTGGAACTGGAGTTATGGACAGTTGTTAGCTGCCATGTGGGTGCTGGGATTCGAACCCAGGTCTTCTGCAAGAACAACCAGTGTTTTTAACTGCTGAGCCATCACTGTAGCCCCTAAAATAGCTATTCTTAAATATCCATAGGACATTCATAAAAACTGGCCATGTTTTAGTACTCAAAAAGTTCTAAAGAGCAGAAATGATGTAAGAGTATATTTTAGTTATCTACTGCACACATAGCAGCTTAAAACAATGAGAATGTAGTATCTCATAGTGTCTGTAGGTCAGCTCTCCCAAGTGCCTTTCAGCTGTATGTCTCTGTCCAGGTCTCTTGTGAAGTTGAAATCAAAATACCAGCCCAGGCTATGGAGTGGTCTGAGGGCCACTGACTGAAGAGCCAATTTTGGGCCTGTTTCTGTGATTGTTAGCAGGATTCAGCTCCTTATGGGCCCTTGGCTCTACTCCTCGACACATGGGCCTCTCCACAGGGGAGGTGAAAACATAGCTGTTATCTTCCTTTGAGTAAGAGAGAGACAGGGAGAAAGAACGAACAAGATAGAAATTGGCCTTTCTGTGAACTTGAAGTGTCTTGGAGGTGACACCCCATCCCTTTGTCCATTCTAAGAACTGAATTACCATGTCTAGTCCTAGCCCAAACTCAAAGGAGCCAATCACACAGGCATGAGCACCAGGAGCATATCAGAGGCTGCTTCCCACACAGTATAATTAGAAAGAGAATCCAAATAAAGTCACTTGAAAATTAACTCTCTTAAATTGCTCTTAAGGGAAAAAATATTAAAACTGCCATAACAAAATTGAGTATCTTTAAGATCAGAGTAAAATTTATGGGATGTCACTAAAGCTGTTCTTAGTGACAAGTTCCCTTATTCATTCAATGACTATTGATTGCTTTCTATGTGCCAGATACTCTGCAAGTGCTGGAAATACAAGAAATTAATGAAGAAAAAACCACTGTATAGATTTCCACTCCAGTCAATGACAGCAAATACTTGTATAATGGTTATGATAGACTGAGCTCAATTCTGAACAATTTTATGTTAACTTTGCTATTAAGTTGATACTTTTTTCTTTACATATCTTGAAACATAGAGAATTTAAGTGATGTGCCTAAGATCACATATATATTAAATATCAAAGTAGACATTTGAATGAGATCTGATTGGCTCTAAATCCTATCCACTAAACTCTAGATCATCCTACCTAAATTAGGTAAAGGAAGAAGCAAATTAATTTGTTGGTCATATGGATATAATAGGTAAATCTAGAAAAGTCTCCATGATCACTCTCTAGAGCAGTGATCACAAAGCAATCTGGTAATTGTTAGCTATGTTTATTTTCCTTAGGGCCTTTGTTACTGAATATCTGAATATCTCTATGATTTATTCATCCATCTATATTTATGGATTTACTCATATATCCATGCATCCATGTATCCATGCATCCTTCCTCCCTCCCTCCCTCCCTCCCTCCCTCCCTTCCTTCCTTCCATGTTAATTGTCTGTTTCTCTTCCCAACTAAAATGCCTGTTCCATGAAGATAAAGAAAATAATAGCATATTTCACAAATACTTTTTTGTTGCCTAATTCTGGTATATATTAGCTGAATAATAAATAGCTAATGGCTGAATGAATAAACAATACGCAATGTACATAGGATATATATATATGTACAGGAAAATATCTGAAAATTTTTAATCACTAATAGATTCATAGAGTTCCATCTCCAATAGATGGATCATAGGTGCTTTAATTTACTTTTTCCTCTTCATTTATTTTTAGAAAGATACAGAGATAGAAAGGTACCAGAAGATCATATTCTTTCCAGGCTGATAATTTTGAAAGAGCAGAAAATAGAAAGCTCAGATGCAACTAGGCTGTCTTCACTTACAGGTGCTCAGAATTTGAATTGCGGCTTGAAGGCTATGGCAAAGAACTGGAAGGTTTTAGGAAGCGTGAAGTGATGGGTACAGAAGAAGTGAAAAACAACGTGGAAAAGCTTAATGAGCTTTCTAAGAACCTGGATCTGGCACTGGTGGAATTTGAGGTTTGGAATCTTGGGATGGGGACTTAAGACTTTAAGGTCCAGTCATTCTCGTTCTTGGTTTTACAAACCTGACACCTGTCAGGTGCACAGTATTGATTGATTGGCCATTTCTTCCATTGATATCAACTACCTGTTTGCACACACCTACATTTCAACAGATTTTTGTAAGTAACAAAGAAGTTACAGCAAGATAACTGTTTATGTATACCGTGTATCCATTATGTGCTTGGTGCTGTGCAAAAGGCTTCATGTGCCTGTCTCACTTGATGCCTGGAGCAAACTGCCTTTGGAGTTCGTTACCCCCATTTATCCCTACTTAAAGTGGGAGAAGTAAGACTCAGAGACATGAAGCCACTTTCTCCAAGGTCAGCTAGCAAGTTATTTTTAACTATTAAAGTTCTTGCCTTTAAGGCAAGTCAAGTAAGTAGGCTGGTAAACAGTCATATGAACATGTAAAGTTCATGTAGGAATTATGAAAATGGAGACAGGCCTATAGTACATTGGGAGCAAAGATGATGGAGCAAGCATCAAATTATCACACAATTTCTAGGAACTGGATCTCAGGTACCATGGCCCTCAGAGGTAGCAGAAGGACCTTCTTGTTGGAGTCTGCCCCCATTTTCCTCTCTTACTCTCTAATGAATGGGTGTCCTGCTCCACTTGGCTTTCTCAGTGCTGAGGAATTTGTCATGGGGGTTCAAGAGAACCACCCACCCAACAGACAGCAGCCCCCTTCTCTCACAGTTGATCAATAAGGAAGAAGAGCTGTTGGAAAAGGATAAGAGTTCCTTTCCTCTTCTTCAAACCTTGATGACCAACAAAGTGCCTTATGAGCAGCTGTGGATGACAGCCTACGAGTTCAGCACCAAATCGGAGGAGTGGATGAACGGTATGTAGTATTTGAACTCTGCTGGGACAGTGTGGAATGGGAGTCTACTCAGCCAGCTCTGAAATCAGATTTTCCCTTCAGATTCTGGCTTCTGGATTAAGATAGCCACAGTTTATAGCTTCTCTAGTGATAACAAGGGAACATAGGAATTAAAGAACAAGACCTAGTTCCAGGTTCAAATCAAATCAGCCTCCAGAAATTGAGTCTGGCAATGAAACCAAGAAGTAGATGGAGAGGGACCGAAAGAGTAAGTCCTCTGTGGTGCTGCTTTACGAAGGGCAGTTCCACAGGCATACATAAACTACCTCTTACTCTAGGCTCTGGAGTCTAGGGACATTGTGCTGGTAGAACCAACATCACTTAATGACATATGGAATCTGATATACAGGCAAGAAGGAAGAGACTTGGGTGACTTTCAGGTTTTGTGCTCAGGAGATTTAGTGGGTCTTATTGAACATAGAAGTGACAAATTTGTGTATTCAACTTAAATACACTGAGTTTGAGTTATTTGAAAACATCCACATGGGAATATTATTAGTTGAATATATCAGTATGGGTTTTAGGAGATGGGTTTGGAGTAGGTGACTTGTACTGGCCAATGACTGATGTGTGGATTATAATTAAAGCCATGGATGTTGTCCCCTGTGCAGAATGTTTAAAAGAGAGGATAAAATCAAAGACCCCTGAGGCTTATTTCTAGTGCTTTAGAAGGACAAACACAACTGAGACAAGCACTTCACTGCCTGCAGAGGAGAGATGGCACATTGCAGCAGTGCTGAAAACAGAGACAGCTTGACCCCTTGGCAGCGGATACAATCAGGAGTGAGCCGATCTGTTCTGAGAACTTGTTCCTTCTGATTTCTCTCAGAACTGTTCTCTTTGAACCAAGAACTTTCTATTTATTGAACCAGTATATCCAGCATGACACGGGAAAGGAATGAGGAACCCTGTCTCATTAGAGGATTTTCCTAATTCCTACTGACCCTGGACAGCACACACAACTGATAATACCATGTTATCAGTCTAATCCCACCTGTCACTTGTAACATAATGGGATAATTTGTTGCTCTCAGTTCTTGGTATTTTCACAACACACACACATGCTCACACACATTATTCTGGGTCAGAGGCAGAGAAAGTTCATGAGGAATTAAAGCTCTATATTGAACTTATAAGAGGAGCCCAAGACTAGTAAAATTGTTTACATTGTAAACAAGCTGAAATAGCATTAAATAATCTCAAAACATAAGATTAACTTTGTTACAAGGTCATGTAAGATTTCATTTGTAACAAGGCTTTCCCAGAAAAGTCATTCCACAACTGCCAACTCTCTGGAGGCAACTATGATTGTTTTCTTTTTCTCAAAATAATTTTTTATTTCTTCTTTCACAATTTTATACATGTATATAATGTGTTTTGGTCAGCATCGCCCCCTCCCTTTGACTATAATTGTTTTCTTAATATAGATTCCTTAGTATGAAATGACTAGATCCAAAGAACATGTTGTAAAAATTACTCAAATTAAAAAAAATTTTAAATCATATATGTATGAGTGTTTTTCCTACATGTATGTAAGTGCATTACATATGTATAATACCCATGGAAGCTAGACGAGGGCATCAGGACCTTGAAATTGGAGTGGTGGACAGTTGTTAGCCATCATGTGGGTGCTGGGAACCAAACCAGGTCCTCTGCAAGAGCAGCCAGTGCTCTTAACCTCTGAGCCATCTCTCCAGCCCCCATAATTTTTAAAAAGCTAATTTATTGAGAATTTCATACATGCATATAAGGTGTTTTGATCAAATCC